ACAGCTGGTATTCAGAGGGAGACTCTTCCACAGAAGATGCAACATCTCATTTCACCGCATGAACCACGTTAAGAGATGCAAGCAGGCCTATACTTCCAGTATGTGCAAATACTTCTCTTTCTGCAGTGAAAAAACCTTCCAACCCAAGCCCCGATCTACCCAATTCCTGGCTGAAAGACCTTGCATGACTTCTCATGTTGCACAAGTCTAGGCAGCCCCATCACTTGCCATGGAGTAGCTAATCTAGCCTCTGGCCCCCCGGGCCACGACAGTCTTCTCTTGCTTGGTTGCTTTCCTCATCGAAAGAGGGAGAGAGGGAGAGTTCTACAGATTTTGCAGCCATACCTTAGGCTAACCTTTCTCATTCTGGTGCCCTCCAGATATTAAAAGACTACCAGTTTCCCTCAGACATGCCTTAATGGCTGGGAATGACGGGAGTTTGTAGTCCAAAGCTATCATTCCATCAGGCTGCCTCAGTGGTGGAGATGGGAAGCTGTTTCAACAGGCACCTCCTACCCTTGAACTGTGCCAGCCGGTCGCTGTAAGAGCAACTGCTTTAGAACTGTTGCTTGAGTTTGATTTCCTCCCCTCTTCCTCCTTGTTCCTTCCCCCTTGTGTGTTGTTTTCTTTTTCAATTGTAAGCTTCAAGGCAAGGACTGTCTTGCTTTTACTGACTGTATATAAGCCACTCCAAAAGCCTCTTTTTCTGCTGAAGAGGGGGAGAAAAATGGTCTAAATCAATGAATCATAAAACACCTGGAGGGCACTAGGTTGGGGAAGCTTGCATTATGCCACTTTAGCACTGTGAACGGCAGGGCATGAAATCTTCATTCAAGAGCTACAGGACATGGAGAAACACTGCTTCAAATCTCTTATGCTCCAGCGCTTGGGAGGTGGAGGGACTGCCAGCAATTGCACCAGGACCGATGCCAGCAGGGGGGCAGACTCTGAGGTTATATGAAAAAAGAGAGAGAGGTAGGTCTCTAAGCCCTCCTAGAAGGAAAGTTAGGAAGCAAAGTGGGCATGTACCCTTCTAAACAATTTCTGTGAGTTGAGCTAGGCTGACTTCTCCCACCTGCCAGTGAGCGCCGTCAGAGCTGTAACTGATAGAGGAGTTGTTTGGACACCACACTCTGGTATCCCTAGGGTTCCAAAGATGTGCTTTTCTCTCCTGTAGTGTACAGGCAACTCTCAGTTTGTAGCATTCAATGCACACATCACCGTGCATGCCATGTCTGGCACCTGAAGAGGGCAGAACGGGGTGGGCTTGCATGCACTCTGCAGATGTGCACAATGACCCGGGACATAACCGGCCCCCCTGTAAATGGTGTGTGTGTGTGTTGCCTGTACTTTTCTATCCTGCTAATGGTCACATTTTCTAATCCTTAGATTCTCTCTTCATTTGCCCTCCTTTTCTTCCTAGGAACCAGGATGCCTCTTTCCTGTGGTGGGTTTATCTGAGATCAGGTACATCCTCTAAATCTGTTTCTGCAAATAATACTCATACTTTGGCCACCTCATGAGAAGAGAAGACTCCCTAGAAAAGACCCTGATGTTGGGAAAGATGGAGGGCACAAGGAGAAGGGGACGACAGAGGATGAGATGGTTGGATATTGTTCTCAAAGCTACCAGCATGAGTTTGACCAAACTGTGGGAGGCAGTGGAAGACAGGAGTGCCTGGCGTGCTCTGGTCCTTGGGGGCACAAAGAGTCAGACTAAACGACTAAACAACAACAACAACAACAACAACAACAACAACAACAACAACAACATGCAGGTGAATGTTAAAGAATCTCCCTGCCCCACCCCCTTTAAAGCAAAATGTAAAAACTTCACCAAGAGGCTTAGACACGCCGCTTTCGGTATAGGACCTAAGCTCCAGGCACTCATGAAGAATTCACTGTATAGTTAGCTTACAGTACAAAATCCACCTCAAATGCCCCAAGCCTCACCTTGCTTCAGGTTAGGGACCCTTCACTTAGCAGAGCAGCAGTGGCACAGGCAACCAGACCAGGCAGGCATGAAGCCCTGCAACTTTTCAGCCAGTATGCCCCTTATAGCAGAGGCCAAAAGTGGCTCCTGCACAGCAGGAGCAGCAGGTTAGGGACAAAGCACTGCCACCAATTTCACAGCAGGGGTAGCAATATCATTGCCTAGATCACCATTTGCCAATCCCCTGCCCAGCACATAAGTAAGCTTTTTGCACACGAGAAAGAAAACCACCAACTAAGCTAAGCAAAAGAAGAGGAATGCACGGCCAAAGGCCCAACCATCACTTTTACTTTGAAAAGTTTCAATATGACCAACCAGAACATTATAACAGTGAGCAAGCTTCTGAGCCAACCAGAGTTCTTCGGCAGAGTTCTGAAAGTTAAGCAGCGGTCAGAGGGGAGATTTTGTTTGGTGTTGAATCCAGAATGCCTCACTGCATTGGTCACAAGTTCATTTCTTCCATCTCGCTCAAAAATTTGGGGGTGGCCCAGGAGAGGGCATTTTTTGAAGCAACCTTTAGATTGTGGAATTCCCTCCCCGCAGAAGTCACCTGGCACCTTTACTATATTTGTTGTTTGTTGTTTAGTCGTGTCCAACTCTTTGTGACCCCAAGGACCAGAGCACGCCAGGCACTCCTGTCTTCCACTGCCTCCCGCAGTTTGGTCAAACTCATGCTGGTAGCTTCGAGAACACTGTCCAACCATCTCGTCCTCTGTCGTCCCCTTCTCCTTGCGCCCTCAATCTTTCCCAACATCAGGGTCTTTTCCAGGGAGTCTTCTTTTCTCATGAGGTGTCCTTCCAATGAGCACACAGGGCTGATTTCCTGAAGAATGGATAGGTTTGATCTTCTTGCAGTCCATGGGACTCTCAAGAGTCTCCTCCAGCACCAGAATTCAAAAGCATCAATTCTTTGGCAATCAGCCTTCTTTATGGTCCAGCTCTCACTTCCATACATCACTACTGGGAAAACCATAGCTTTAACTATACGGACCTTTGTCTGCAAGGTGATGTCTCTGCTTTTTAAGATGCTGTCTAGGTTTGCCATTGCTTTTCTCCCAAGGAGCAGGCGTCTTTTAATTTCGTGACTGCTGTCACCATCTGCAGTGATCATGGAGCCCAAGAAAGTAAAATCTCTCACTGCCTCCATTTATTCCCCTTCTATTTGCCAGGAGGTGATGGCAAATAGCTTTATATAGCTATTTATATTATTATATAGCTTTCAGCAAATGCTGAAGATGCACTTCTTTAACCCTGACCTTTGACACCTGAAATGTGTGCAATGTGTGCTTCCAGGAGTTGGACCCACCCTATTCTTGAGAATGTAGCATGTTTTATGTGCTTTTAATTCTGAATTTTAAATTGTTGCAACCCCCGCCTCCCAGGACTCACTGGTGAAGGGCAGGTAACAAATTTAATGATACTACTACTACTACTACCCCTACCATTACCACCAATAATAATTTATGCTGTGGCTATGGGGTTTGTCATGCAGAGTTCCCACTCCTTGGAAATGACCACTACACCCCTGAATCCACTAAATGTGGTTTTACACAAATCCCCTCTCCATCTGGCCACAGAAGGACTTGAAGCCTGGTGACCTTTGGAGATGACTGGAGCACCTCTTTTGATCAATCCCTTATCACACAGCCTTGCAAATAAATCATGGGTCCTCCTAGTCCTCAGCTTATTTACTTGAAGCCGGTTGTTAGCCTTTGCAGACCTACTCATGTATGTTTATGCCTCAACAGCTCAAAAAAGGGAGGGGGGGACAACAAATTCTCATCCAGCTAACAAAAGATCTGCTTGCTAGTTGCCCAAAGACAAGCATGCAAGTAGATATTTGCACCCCTGATTGTAGCTTCAGTCTCTGTTCAGCAAAACACAAACGTGAAACATTTCAAATAAGTAAATAAAGTCAGCAACCCTGAAGAAAGTCAGTGGAATGCAACAGTCATTTCTTCCGGCACCTAAGAATTAAGGAAGAGGAATTTCTGCAGCCCTTGCAAGATTTGCCTGGGCAAGAACAAGGCACACAAGGATGCGAGTAGTCAGAAATGGGAGCAACATGTTCCAAACATTTTCTAAGCACTAAGCTTGCATTTGCTTACTCTCAGCTTCTGCTATCCTCCCCTTTTCTCCCTTTCCCACCCCCCACACCAGATGCATCAAAGCCTAAACTGTAAGCACCATGGGGCAGGGAACAAACACAGCTGATGATACTATGACCCCAAACTGATTCATTTGACTTAATGTGAAGTTAAGAAACATGCTTGCAGCCACACGCTCCCAATGAGAATTGGTACCATGACTAGACATGGCTGGGATTGCGCGACAGAAGCCGCCCTCAGGAGGCACCCACTTATTATTTTAATTGAAGAGGATTTGAGTGAATTGCAAATAAGTCTAGCGAGACCCTATGCTGGATTTACACCCCCACGCACAAAAGCAAATCTAAAAAATGAGCACACTTTAGAGCACCAGCTTTGTATGCAGAAGGTTCAGGGTTCAAGTCCTGGGATCTCCAGCTGTGGTTGGTAAAAATTCCTTGTCTGGTAAACCCTGGAGGATCAATACTGAATTTGATGGACCAAAGACAGAAGCCATCTAGGCCTACCAGTGTGGTGTAGTGGTTAATGTGTTGGAATACTAAGCCCTGGGAGACCAGGGTTCAAATGCCCACTCAGCCATGAAGCTCCCTGGGTGACTTTGGGCCAGTCACTGCCTCTCATTCTAACATACCTCACAGGACTGTTGTGGGAATTAAACGTTAAGAAATAAGCAGAAGGCGCCAGGTTCAGTCCCCAGGTAGGGCTGGGAGAGACTTCCTGCCTGAATCCCTGAAGAGATGCTGCCAGTCTGTGTTGGCAACACAGGCTCCATATAGAAACATGGCCTAATAACTTCCTAAAGCTGTAACTCTTTGGAGAGCCTCTTGCCTGCTTCCTCTTGAATGCCACCGTCGCAAGAAGAGCCCCCCCCCCGCAGTCCTGTCCCGCAAAGGCACTCACCGAAGTACTCCTTTTTCATGTGCATCTCCAGCTCCTTCTCCAGCTCCAACGTGAGCGCCTCCAGCCTCCGCTCCACCTGGCTGGGCCCGCTCTCCCTCGACGGCGTCACCTGGTAGGGGAGCCGGAACTTAGAGACGGCCGCCGCGCCTTTGGCGGTCGGCGAGCCGTAGGTCAGCGAGGAGACGGCGGCGTCGGAGCCCCCGAGGGCAACCGGCGGCGCCTGGGCGTGCAGCCTCGGGTAGGCATCCGCCGCCGCCTGCTCAGCCAGCAACAGAAGGCCCTCCTCGGGCAGGAGCGAGGCCCGCGGCGACGGCAGCTGGAACTCCGGGTAGGCGCCCATCGAGCCCCGGGAGCTGCGCGAGCTGTGGCTGGAGATGCTGGAGCGCGGGCTGGCCAGAGCCGCCGCGATGGCCCCCGACGCCATGGCCGCCGCTGTAGCCGGCCCGGATCCGTGGCGCCCAGCCGCTGAGGCTGCCACCTCCAGCTCGACGGCGCCGGCCAAGGAGGAGCGCGGGCTGATGTGCCGCTGGTCGTAGCCCATGCTGATGCCGCTGGTGCGGTTGCTGCTCGGCTTGCTCCCGCTGCCACCCCCGCCGCCGTCGGAAGAGCTGGTCAGGCTGGCGCGCGGGCTGGAGTGCTTGCTCGTGTCGCTGGCCGTGCTGGCGTAGCTGGAGCGCGGGCTCAGCACCGAAGACGCCTCGACGGCCCCGGCTACCAAGCTGCCCCGCGGGCTGGCCAACGGGCCGCCGCCACCGTAGCACGTCGAGGCCCGCGGGCTGGCTCCCCCGCCGCCGCCTCCTTTGCCGCGCGGGTAGCCTTCGGCCGAGTAGCGCTTGTAGCAAGGCAGCGCTACCTCGGAGCGCGGACACGAGCCGTCCTCGGCGCCGCCGTTGAGGGAGCGCAGCGGGAGGCACGACGACTGAGGAGCCTCTGCCGACGGGTACGGCGGCGGCGGGCCCAGCGTGGTGCAGCCGCCGCCGCCGTTCAGCTGCTTCTTGGTCCGCCCGTCCAGCTCCGACGGCGGCTGGTAGTCTCTCCTGCGGCGGCCGAGCCCCTCGTCGTAGAGCGCCAGCTCCGCCATCAACTTGCTGGCTTTCCCCAAGCCCTCCTCGTACCTCTCCATGCCGGCGGGAGAAGGAGGAGAGGCGCCGCCGCCGCCGCCCTCGCGCGCTCCAGACGGCAAAGTTTAGCAGAAGCCGCCGCGGCCCGACGCCCGGTGCCGCCTCGCAAGCGCTGCCTCCGGCTACAAGAGAGTCACCTCCCGGGCATCCCGCCCCGAGGCTCGCCAGGCAGGCAGAGCGGCCGGCGGGCCGGCGGGTGGGGGGCGGGAGGGAGGGAGAGGCGGCGTTGTCGGGGAAGCGTCCCCGCCCGCCTGCGCGAAAGTTTGCTGGGGCCAGTCAATGGCGCGCTCGGCGGAGGAATTTGCACTTCGAGGCTGCCCGGCTGGCTGACTGGCCGGCCTCCTCCTCCTCCTCCTCGGCTCGGCTCTCCCCCGCCCGGCTGGGCTCCAAGATCCGGGGCGGGAGGGCCCGAGGCAGCGCCGGGCTGCTCCTTTGTGCGGCGAGGGAGGGAGGGACTTCTTTGTGTGGGGCAGGAATGCGAGGAGGAGGAGGAGGAGGAGGAAGGAGACGGGGCGCTGCGTCCCTCTGGAATGTAGTTAATGCCGAAGCCAAACAATGACTTTAACCAAGTCAGCCCCCGAGGGGGGGGGACGCCGGGCGGGAGGAGCCGCTGCTGGAGGAGCGCCCCCCCCCCGCATTCCCTTCATGTGACTGCGCTCCTCTAGCAGGGAGGGAGGACGCTTAAAAGCAGGGGGGATTCTTTGTGCTGCACGCTCACACCTTGGGAAAGGCCCTACTACTCACTCTTCCATGCTCCCGGATGCTGCCTCGCCAGAGCCCACTGAATGCCGCCCCCCCCCACGGCATGGACAGGGCCTTTCCCACCCACCCCTGACTGTGCGCCCTGTGCCAAGAGGACCCATGGAAAAGCCAGAGAGGGAATGGTGAGGGGGCTTCCAAGCCCACTGGCCCGCTTCTGCCAGCCATTCCCTCCATCACTTGCGCTGACCTGCAAGGCCACGCCTGGCTTGCCAAAGTCCCCTTCCCCACACAGGTCTTCAGAAGGTGTGTCTCATGGTTTCCTTTTTTACTGCTTTGAGCATCTGCCAGAAATACCTCTCTCATTGCATCCACAGTCCTAGATGGCAGCAGGTTATCCTCACACAAGTTAGGGCCCACGGGGAGGCTCCGTTTGTGAGAACGGCAACCTTCCCAGTTCACACAGATACATCCTTTTCTTTATCTGTGCTGAGTTGTATGTCCTTGATCATTAGCGGCTGGATGCGTGAACTAGGTCCGCAGAAAAGCATTGAGTGTACACAGTGCTGTTTTTCTAGAAAAAGGTGCAGGAATTTACCCTTGTTGTCTTATCATGGCAATGGTGCCCACCTGAGAGGGGCCGGAACTGAGTTCTGGCTGGAAAAAAAAAGCCTTGAGTATGGGAGGCAAAATGTAAGTTCCATTTCTGGTGCTCAATCTGGTAGGACACATTCCTCCACAAGACTGTGCTGCGTCCTGCAGGCACATGAACCACCCTCCACGTGGAGCTAGCAGTTCCTGTGAGCAGCACCTCATAAGAACAAAAAAAGAGAGTCTGCTAGGTCAGGCCAATATTCTGTTCTCACAGGGACCAACTGGATGCCCCAGTAGGAAACCAGCAAGCAGGGTTCAAGCACAAGAGCCCTCTCCCCTCCCGTGGCCTCCAGCAACTGGCATTCAGAAGAGGAGGAGGAGTTTGGATTTGATATCCTGCTTTATCACTACCCTAAGGAATCTCAAAGCAGCTAACATTCTCCTTTCCTTCCTCCTCACAAGAAGCGCTCTGTGAGGTGAGTGAGGTTGAGAGACTTCAAAGACTAGCCCAAGGTCACCCAGCAGCTGCATGTGGAGGAGTGGAGACACCAACCCGGTTCACCAGATTACGAGTCTACCGCTCTTAACCACTACACCACACTGGCTCTCTGCTACCTCTGACAGAGCACAGCTACTGCAGCTAGTAATCAATAGCTCTCTCCTCCATTAATTTGTCTGATCCTCTTTTAAAACCACGCAGGTTGGTGGCCATCATTGTCTCCTGTGGGAGCAAGTTCCATTGTTTAACTATGTGCTACATGAAGAAGCAGCTGTTGCGAGTTGCAGATGTAAGAGGAGCCCAGCAGGTGGATGGGTCTGCCTGGTCCAGCATCTTGGTCTCACAGTGGCCAACCAGATGCTCGCAAAGGGAAACCCACAGCCGTGTCACACTCCCACACCAGCCCCTCGGAGCCCCAGGATTGTGTGAACTGAGCCAGAGGGGCTGCAACCCATAGGGCTGCCTCTTCTAGAACCTGGCCATGCTCACGAGCCCCTGGACCCAATCCAGGTCCCTGTTGTGGCATGTTCCTGCTGGGCTGACCCGTGTCTTAGTCATGCTTACAATACTTCAGTGGGTCTACTCTAAGCATGACTAAGGCAGGGCCCATCCCTCCGAATTTAAAGGGCTTCATTCCCAGATAAATGTGGGCCTGGTTTATTTCTACTGAGCTTTTTTGTTTTTTTCACTAGGCCTAGGAAAAAGAGGTGCCAGAACTCACCACAAACACTTCCACTGTTCCCTTAGAATGGCGATGGCACCCATCTGAGAGGAGAACCTATTTGCAGCCCCCTCTACCCAGATAGATGTCCTTTTGCCAGTTGAGTCCAATGTTCTCCCATCATATGCATATTTACTTGTCAATAAGCACTTGCCTGAAACCTCTTGAATTGATGGGCAGAATGTGGAGGGTAGTGGTTGGGGGATCTGGTTAAAGAGAGTACTTGCAACCTCTTGTTGAAGAAAAATAACAAAACTGTTTATTATAGGAAGTACATAACTTAGATAGGAAAGTTTCTGGTTCCAAGCCAGCTAACAAAGCTGAACAAAGGCAGCCAACCATGCTGGCCTGTTTGTTGTCAGGAGGATAGATTCAGGTTCAAGGTCAGATAAGTGAGGGGGGGCATTGGAGAGGACGCAACTTTAGAATGTCAGTCTTAAGATCAAAGATCTAAGGTCAAATATACAGAGACAGTTTAGGAATCTGGAGGTCTCCCACTCTGTTTTAGCCCCATGCGAACCCCCTTTTTGCTGAGTTGCAAAAGACTTCCAGCATAAATCCCCAAATGTTGCTGAAATTGATACAGATATTATATAGTTTTTAGGTTGGAATCCTAAAAACTGAGCTCGGTGGGGCTTTGTTCTGAATGGATGTACCTAAGATAGTGCTGTTACAGTACAAGCCTATACATGTCTATTCAGAAGTAAGTCCTGTGGAGCTAATTGAGACTTATTCCCAGCCTACTTGGCTATAAGATTGCAGCCTAAGGATTGCAGCCGCTTTGTTATTTTGAGAGCTTTAAAAGAATGTTATTGTTTTATAATTTCATGGTTTAAGTCCTCTCAGGGTATTAGTTTCAGGCAGTGAAAGGCATTTAATTATATTACTTTTTAAATTTGTATGTTATTGCTGTTAGTTCCCTTGAGTTCCGTTTGCTGGAAAGACAGGATAAGAATATAACAAAAAATATGTGCTATAAATTAGTAATTCATTTGCCTCCTCTTAATGCAAATAATAAACACTGCTTGCAAGTTCCAATTCTCTTGGAAATAATACATTATTTTGAAGCAATAAATGCCAAAAGGTAAGCATAGATTGTTGAAAAGTCTGGTCCCAAGTCCAGACTGAAGCACCTGGATTCTTCTTCTGAACCCAAACTGCAGGGGGTTTTGCTTACGGAATTGCTGATGGAGTGACTGTACCCCTTCCCCCCACCTGCACTCAGAGCAAGATATTGCACAAATGGTGCTATTTGGTTGCTGGCTGCTCAGCTGCCTGCACACGGTGTAGCCAGACCAACCCCTGTACCAGGCCAATAACATTTTATCCTGTTATCATTCTTAATTAAACATTGAATGTGAGTTTGCTCTTGAAGAGCACAGCTTAAAACCTCCCAGAGGTCACATACAAATGTCAAGGACCCAGTGGAGAAAGATGTTGGATGAAGAGTCCTGCTCTTTTACCGTCATACCCTCAGGAAGTGTGAGACTAGAGCCCAAAATATTATAGCGCCCAGTGGATCTTTCCCATCCTGCCATGTATAAGAACACATTTTCTTTCCTGCAGGATTCATAGGCAAGGGTTGTTTTTGTTAATGCAATGGAAGCCTTGAAACGATAAGAGACTAGTGGAGTTCTGAAAATTATGATTGCTGCAGTAAATACAGGTGGTTTTTTTTATAATTTCAAAAGTCTGGACAAAGTGGGTCATTTTAAGAAGCAGGTTCCAGAAACAGCAAAGTTCAGAAAGGCCAGTCCCATGTGGAAAGGTGGTGTTGAATGGTTTAGTCTGCAGCCTTCAGCAACCTGCTGCCCTCTAAGATGCGTTAAGACAGCAACACCCACCCACCCCTAGCCAGTGCTTGGGACAGCCTTGAAGGGATTGTGGCCTGTGAGCTAAAGATTGCCCAGCACTGTTCTGGAGGTACAGCTGGCTCCCTTGTTTAATTTTTGGGCCTGGCGCGAAGACATCCCTTCTTGCAAGATATACTAAAGAGCATTTTTATTCCTTCAGGCTACTTTAAACCACACCAGCTGTAGCAGCCCCGTTTTTCAGCTCCTAGCACTGGATGCTAATATAGAATTATATTGATCTGTTTATTGCTTTGGAATAAACTTGGGAACTCAGATATCAGCAGCGCTACATATTTTTTTCTTTTGTGGACCAAGAGGAACTTCAATATTTAGTAAAAGAAATGTGACTTCACACGTTCAGGCAGATCCAATAAAGCCCTCTTCTGGAAGAATAGGGTATAATTCATCTTCTAAAAGCTTAATTTGCTTGATCCTATACAGCTAAAATTCTGCCTGCCTTCTCCTTAACTGCCTTGGAGCATGTGCCTCCAGAAGAGAGAGAGGGAAGGGGCTGTGTTTAGGGGACTGGCAGAGCCCGCTCCTCAAAGGTCACTACTGCATAGCAGACACTTTCTGCTTCTGGAAGCCATTGAGACTTTTGTGACACCAATTCCACTCTCATGGCATCTCTTTTACATCTCTAGCAACTGGCAACTTGGCTCATTCTGAACTCACCAACCCACTCAACCATAGTTCACTGTTATTTCCACTGAAGATGACAATATAGTGATGACAACCTATATAGTGTTGCTTCATTACCTACCTCAAGCCACACCAGAAGGAGGCATTCAGAAAGCCTTGGGTTTCTCTGAGATGACTCTAAAGCTCAGAAAAGATAGGCAAGGATATTGGGATGGACCGATTTAAACTAAGAGGCAGAGGCAATCAGGAATATCTTCCACATAAGCCCAGCAGTGAAATGGATGGCAGTTGTGCAGGCCAGGTGACCCACCAAACACAACCCACCCTTCATGTGTCCTTGTTGCCTAGGTATACAACAAAACCTTGCTGCCTAGGTATACAACAAAACCAAAGTTTCATCTTTCTGTAGATGAGCTGCATTCAAACTTGGTGATTACAATGTTTGTTGGCCTGATACAATACAATCACCATTCTCCCCATTGGCTAA